AAATACTATAGCATTTTATTTTATGAAAATGAGATACAGAAGTTTTCGCACTGAAAGAGAAGTGATCTCGTGCTCATAGAACTTAAGACGTGCCAGGCTATATCTGCAGCTAATCTTAATAAAAAGCAGAATGAACTGATGAAACGTTAAGACAATAAACACAATAAATAAATAACATTTATGAATGATGCAGTGCTAATTGACAATTTATTACAGTACAGAAACGATCAAGTATATTTTCTACCTTATTCTGTGCAGAAAATTGAAATGTTTGTAGTATATAAAACAATCATTAAATTGCCATTAGGAAAAAAATATCGATTACAAATGATTGATTATTGTCCAGCAGTGTATTTGATTTCTTATACCAAATTCAAAGTAATAGATAAGAAAATAATTCCTTGTAAAAAAATATTAATTATAATAATACATACATACAATTATTGCATTTGACATTTCTGTCACTTTTGAAATGATTTAAAAAAATATTTTTTAAAATCTTGGCTTACATAAATTTTTACGTATGCCGTGTCATGCCATAACATCATTAAACTAACATCTAACAATGGACAAAAGTGTTTTATTCTCTCTAACCTACGGTTCTGTAACCATAAAGGCTGCTGTGTAATTTGCCCCTTGACTAAGCATTTAAAGAATTTAGGGGAAGCATTTAAATAATCCTGTGATTGTACTTAAAGAATGCAGAATCGTTCTAAATTTGCAAAAATCGTTCTACCTTATTCTGTGCAGAAAATTGAAATGTTTGTAGTATATAAAACAATCATTAAATTGCCATTAGGAAAAAAATATCGATTACAAATGATTGATTATTGTCCAGCAGTGTATTTGATTTCTTATAGCAAATTCAAAGTAATAGATAAGAAAATAATTCCTTGTAAAAAAAATATTAATTATAATAATACATACATACATACAATTATTGCATTTGACATTTCTGTCACTTTTGAAATTATTTAAAAAAATATTTTTTTTAATTTTGGCTTACATAAATTTTTACGTATGCCGTGTCATGCCATAGCATCATTAAACTAACATCTAACAATGGACAAAAGTGTTTTATTCTCTCTAACCTACGGTTCTGTAACCATAAAGGCTGCTGTGTAATTTGCCCCTTGACTAAGCATTTAAAGAATTTAGGGGAAGCATTTAAATAATCCTGTGATTGTACTTAAAGAATGCAGAATCGTTCTAAATTTGCAAAAATCGTTCTTGAATCGAAAACCTATGGATCGTGAATCGAATCGAAGTCTACCCAAAGATTCACAGCCCTACATAGTAGCATAGGCATCAAAAGCCTTCTGACTGTATTGTTGCGCAGTGTTTCTCCTGTTTGTCAGCACTCTTTCACCTGGTTGTAAATTAGAATAAATCAATGAGTCATTTGTGTTCTTCGCTGAATTCAAGTGCTTCACACTGGATCTCACAGCGCTGTTTTAAAAGAGCTGCCATTTGAACTTTGATCAGAGTGGATAAACTGTCCGTGTGGTGTGGTTCAAATGAGTAGTGCTGCTTCATTATGCTTTTGGTGCATAAACATTATATAGAACATTTATCAAACGCTAATGATCATTTTATCATGGAAACTTAGATCATAAGTATAGTTATCATTTCAGCGTATATAAAAAAATCTTAATGAAACGCTCATACTTATAAAGACCTGAGAGAATATATTCAGTATGCGGACAAAAGTGTTTTCTAAATTAAAAAGTGCAAATAAATAGATGCACTGTTAAATGAAGCATGCCCTGATCTATGCTTGACAACAACTACTGGCTTTTCACTTGCCACTGCTGTGACGAGATTAAAACTCATGCATATTTAACAGCAATGGTGAGTCAACTTAGTTTTTTTCTTTGTGTTTACTTTTACTTTTCATTTATGCATTATCAACACACAGCGACAGACTAATCTAAGACATGAATTCAAGACTAAAAGAAGAGCATGACACTAGTAAGATGTCTTGATTTCCAGGGAGCACATGAATCGAAAAACAAAAATAAAAAAACAAAAATAAATGCAAACCTTGAATGCAATATAAGTTCATTAGATAAAAGCATCTGCCAAATGCATAAATGCACAGTAAGGCAAGGCAAGGCAAGGCAAGTATGACTTCAGCCAAAAGCTACAAGCTGTCCTCTCAGTTTGTGTGAACGAACAGGGGAAGTAAGATGAAAATGCCAGAGAAAGCTCATGGGAAGTGGGACTCAGTCTGGACATTCCCGTCTGCTCCCCTGAGCCTCTTTGATACGAGCTGCGCCAGGCCTTAACTAACCAGCATGTATTTGTTTTTCACAGTTATAGACTGGTGGGCCAAAGTAAACATAAGGTGACAGTGACTATGCATGCAATGTGGGCCCTCCATATGAATGCAAGAACATCACTATTCACTAATCAGCATTCAACCAACAGGCATGATACACTGACACAAGTCCTGTGGACTGAATCTATCAAACATTTTTGGTCAAAAAAATTTGAGCTGTTACTTCTAATAGTGCTGATTACAATCTTCAAGCAACCACTAGAGAGACCGTGAAGAAAAGAAATCATCAGTAGAGTGCTTCCACTTCCTATTACACACATCCCCTCCTCTTCTGATTGGTGGACGGATAACAGAAGCATTTCCTGATCCTACCAGCCAGACCACTATAGGTCACACACTTGCACTTAATCTGACCAACTGGACTAAAACAAAGATATCAGATCACGCCTCTCTTTTACAGATGTGTGGTTGTGTAGAGGAACTGTTTACAGGAAGACAGACCAGGGGCCTTTTGTATTTGCAGCTCTATAAAAGGAAATACTGAGCAAGGCTTCCTGAACTAAGCCTAACTGTCGTCCTCCTTCCATGCTATTGGAGAATGAAGGCATATGCTTGTCCAGCAAAGAAGCAGCCAACTTTCTAACTGCCAAATCTTTGCTTATTGTCAAAGAAATGAAAATGTTGTCATCATTTACTCACCCTCATGACTTCATTTCTTCTGTGGAACACAAAATGAGATGTTAGACAGAATGCTATGAGAACTAGCAGTCAGTCACCATTTATTTACTGCATTGTTTTCATACAAAGGTGAATGGTGACTTAAATTGTGATTAATGCCAAACATCTACTTTGTTTTCCAAGAAGAAAACATAATTGTCACAAGACATAACAGCATGATATGAAACATGAAAGAAATGCACCAAAAAATGGGACTTTGATTTACTGTATTTTTTGTTTCTCACACAAGTACACTTTAACAAACGCTAATAAAAAACAACAGTTGATGTAAAAAAATTAAGCTTAATGTAAACTAAGATTTTCTTCGCCTTGGGATTTGACTACGATCTACTTGAGCAGATTCATATTCTTGTAGAGAAAAAAAACCCTGAAAACAAATCGAAGTAGCAAACAACTCTGCATTATCAAAACAAGGCTGTCCAAGTATTTAAAATAAAAGTAAAAAGCTCAGTAATAAATCAATACACATCACCCTTTCTGAATATCAAGAGATCTGCGCACTGCTGGCCGAGCAGACTTTGCATTTTCAACTCACCAGAACTCCCGCAAATCTCCTCAAAGTTTTGCCTCCGCCTTTTTCACTCTCATAAACTGATTTTGCTGCAAGTATAATGAGAATATTTCCCTTGATATTATGATTTGCGACGCCGTGTCGACGTGCTTGTAAGTTTTTTTAGTTAACTTCTTCTTGGACCCAAGATCTGTCTGATATGGCGGAGGGGAAGCGGAACTGTCGACCCAGCCCAGTGTTTGGGCACTAAACGTAGGTTTCACTAAAAGTAGCTTTTTAGGTTGGACAGTGTTTAATCTAATCTATTATTCATAAAAATCTGAATTAATATTCTTAAACTGCGCGAAAAACGAACGGTGATTAGACGTTTTCTGCAACCTCAAACTACTATTTGCAAATGGGTTCCGTCCATGAATGCTGACGGCTCTGTTGCATGACGGGACATGTAGTCTACATTTGATTGCACTGCACTGAAGTGGAGTACTCTAAAAAACTACATTTCCCTACACTGATCTGATTCGAACTTTGCCAAATAATTTCATTCTACGATTCACCGGTATGCCAAAGTAAGTGTTTCAGTCCTATGAGAGCCAGGCGTTTAGATAAACATAAATACTTAATTTATATATTATAGATAGTAAGATGCAAGCTATTTAAACAAGGCATAAAAGTAACAACATAAAAAAAACCTTTATTCTAAGGCAAAATGAAAAGAGATCCAAGCCCTCTGCTGGCACCAACTGGAAAATACATTTAATATTATTCCCTATTGTTACATTCATGGTCGTCTCCATAGGAAAGGCACATTTACAAAAAGGTAATTGATTTCCACTGAATAGGCTGTAATAACTGGACATTTGATTTAGGATGCATTGTAGAAGTAGACTATTTTTTTCTCATCTCTTGGGTGCATCGTGGGCAGTACCTGTAAATGGAGAACACAATACTTTAAAACTGCAATATTAAGTACATGGAGAAGTCAGTCAGTATGTGAAGTGTGCTAATAAAATAAATATGAAGCATAGAATTTGGCTCACCATTTTCCTTTTGGTTTGGTTGTTAGGCCAACACAAGCAAAGTGAAACCATTCTATTGGACACTGTTAAAAGAGAAGAAACCTTCCTTTTCATTCTTTTACATATAAACTTTTTTCCCCTTATTTTATTATGTAGACGGTACTTGTTTCTGTGTGGCAATTGTATTTTCTCAAACAATGGCTTAACAAAAAAAAAAGATTTATATTAAATAACTATTACTCACATCAGAATTGTCACATCCAATCATTTCTCCATATGATACTTGACTACATAAACAGTATGTGGGTTCATTAGGGTCCACAGGCATATCCAGGACATCTGATGGGTGCATGGCGAGCAGAGATTCACTTACATTTGCACTAGTGTTTGAGAGACAAAACACACACACACACACACACACAAAAGTTGAATACAAAGCCTTAAAGGGGTCATATGACGTTGCTAAAAAAGAACATTATTTTGTGTATTTGGTGTAGTGAAATGAGTTTATGCGGTTTAAGGTAAAAAAAACAAACATACATTTTCCACATACTGTACATTATTGTTTCTCCTCTATGCCCCGCCTTTCTGAAACGTGTCGAATTTTACAAAGCTCATCGTTCTGAAAAGCGAGGTGTACGCTGATTGGCCAGCTATCCAGTGTATTGTGATTGGCTGAATGCCTCAAGCGTGTGACGGAAATGTTACGCCCCTACCATACGGTGATGCCCTGTCCGGCCGAAGCGACGAGACAAAACCAATACAACCGAGGCATTTGTAGCATCCCGTGGGGACATAATCACTGATTATAATGACTTATACTGTCTTAATACACGTTGCATTGCATCGTGCCGCATAAACATAAAACCATGTCTGCATTTGTGATCGGAGAAACAACAAACAACAAGCTCTACTCTACACTGCTCAAAACTCGCGTTTGAATCATCAGTGGCAAATTCTTTAAATATGAAAACGTACTTACAGACTGTGAGTCAGCAATATTTGTCAGAACACCGGCACTGTAGGCTACTCTCCCAGGAAACAGTCCTCGTCCTCCATAAAATGTGCTGCACACATCTGAATATTTGGGTTGAAGTGTTCTGGAACAGTGTTGTAAATACAACTTAACCACTGATTTCTAGTTGTGTCCTCTTTTGGAAGACCAAACAAAGTAGTTTCGGTTTCACACGGAAACACACAGCGTCTCCCCGACATGACGGCGGCGGCAACATTATTACAGCGAGAATAAAAGTTACGCCTTCTTTCTTTGCGTGAACATTTGGGTGGCGTTATGTAAATCTTCCCACACAGTGACATAGACATGTGGGGGCGTTTTTAAACGAGGCATTTTAAGAGGGTCTGGACGAGTCTTAACTTTTATAATAATAATAATTTATGCATTTAGCAGACGCTTTTATCCAAAGCGACTTGCAGTGCATTCAGGCTATACACATTTTTTTTTTACCAGTATCTCTTTGGGTTTGAGACTTTAGTCTTTACAACTTTAGGGATCTTATCTATTCATGAACAGCTTGTAACACTCCAAAGAGTTTAAAATAATATACACATGCATCGATCAAATGTATCCTTTTAATATGACAGTTACCCATTTTTCATTTTTTTCTGCTTGGGTGAGTCTTGATCTGATCCTTTCTTGTCTGATCCATGGGATGCCCTCTTTTCTTTTATATTCTTATCTTCTGAAACAACAAATGAGTCACCCCAAATTACAACAAAAGGGATACACTGGGCATTGATTGTATTGATACATACATGAAGATAAGCTCTGAACAATAAGACTTACTTCGAGATTGCTTTTCATCTGAGCTCTCCAGACTGGCTGAGTCCAGTTTCTCCTGCAGATCATTCTCAAAGCGTGCAAGATCAGCATCTAATCTCCGAATGTGTTTATCCACCTGGAAATGCAAGGAGACTTGTTTATGCTTGATGCATCAAATGGTACATGTAAATATAAAACTGAGGACTCTGCATCTCACCATTTCATATATCTGCATTGCAAGCTGAACTTTGTCATCGCTGTACTCTTTGCATTTGTTGTAGGCATTTTCAATCTTCTTTAAATGCTGGACACGCTCCTCGGATGCCAGATTTCTAACTTTTGCAATATACTCAGAAGCTAGTTCACTTATCTCTGCCTTTTTCTCTGTGAGCAACAGTAAGAATATAATTGTTCATTAGTCAAAATTTAAAAAAAGTTAACTGTAATGGCCTCTGATACAAAGTGGTCCAAACATTCATACCTTCAGTTCTATTATCTAAATCCTCCATTAATGAGAAGTTTCTCTGCAACTCGCAGGGAAGTCCCTCGATGCCTGGAACCAATGATTATAATTAAAAATCGTGCAAACTGTATTTACATGGCAGGAAAATAAACAGCATGCATACGCTACAGGAAGTTAACTTTACATACTGAGCAAGGGTATTATAAGATACAAAACATTACTTAGGCACCACTCAGTCATGTACAGTTCAGCATTTTATCGTAACATAACACATAAGACTGACAAACTTGTAATTCTGAAACACAACAACTCCTCAACTCTCAAGTGGGGTACTCAAG